ATGCTTCTGTTCTAATGATTATTCCACTCATTTCGTGATATATAAAATTAATAAGATGATATGTCTCACTTTATATATTCACATTATAACCGAAGACATATAGTGAAAAGTCAACCGCGCGCGTAGGCTACCCTAGTGAAGAAAAACACAAGCCTAGGGATGAGTTTACATCACTAAGGAAATTAAGATATAACTTTGCTTGCCAAATAAATTCCAAATTCATTCTCATTATCACTTTTTATAACCGGCTACCAAACTTAATTACGATTATTGCTGATCAAAACTGATTTTGATTTGAAATAAATATTGTTACAACTTACAAGTGGTTACAAAGTAAACCCAGTAAAACCATAAATCTGCTGGAGCAGAAGTATGATGTCTCAGATCAGTAGTTCAAAAAAGTACTCAGCCAAAGCTCATGTTACTACATGATGTTTGTTTGGGGGATTAGTAAAATGATCAATGAATGAAAGACTTACTGGCAAGAGAAGTCAGTATCAACAAAAATCAGGCATGGTGCTGAACTTCTAGAACCTGCATTACCATAATGTTCTCTGCTTTAATTATCAATGAAAATGTTTTTTTAAAAAAATTATATTAAATCCAATACTTTATTTTAGGAAATTTGACAGTATTTCCAGTCGACCCAAATTCATATATACATGACTATACTAATATTTATACGAAGGAAGAACAAAAGAAGACTATGGGGCATACACACTTCACGTTATAGCATTAGAGATTCTCTTCTTGACCAATATTGTGTTATGGAGCCAGCTGTTAGGGCGGCCCAGCCCATCAAAGTTTACTCACGGAGGCCCAAACCAGGAATGCACAAGGTTCAAGTCAGCAAGCCAAGTAACCGTTTGATAGAAGGGGTCAACGATGGAGACATCTAAGGGAGTCAACCTCAACAAAGGGAAGGAGACAAATGCCATTAAGAACTTATTAGGGAAAGTAGCAGTAGTAATTTATGTGCTTTATTTTGGGTTGTGCCATTTTCATGTCTAATTGTCACATGTAATTGTCTTAGTCATGTGTACTAGTTTAGTATTAGTAGGAGAGGAAGGCAGTGAGGAGGGTATCCAGAAATTAAACAAGAACTTCCTTGAGAGTAGTAGCCTCAAGCTACCTTGAGATTCATGGCCTCAAGCCATTGACTATCCATTGTAAACTTTAGCTTTCAGTAATCAATTTCAATCAAGCTTCCCTTAATTACTGTCATTACTTGAATACTTACTGTGAGAATTCCGGGCTGTGACAACTTGCTCTGATACCCACTGCAACGCCGGTCCATCCATGGCGACCACCGCGGCCGTGATCTTGTCGCGCTCCGACAGGTGATGGAAGTCGAAAAACATTTGGGCTCTCATAACCCAATTATAAGGGTCCTCCCCCTCAAAGGTGGGAATATCGAGCTTCTTTTGTTTCCACCGCCCGTCTCCACCACCGTCAAATGGTTCTCTGTCGTGCCAGCCCCTCCTCCATGGTGGGGTTGCGAATGGTTCTTCTCTCGGGGCTCGCACCTCCCCTTCAGTACGCACTCGACTGTTACCCTCTCCCACAGGGGATACCGGGGATCTCCTTGTCGAATGCCCCTCAAAGGACTAAAAGCTTGCAATGGTTCTCCATTCCATAAAATTTGTAACTTGGCTGAGTTAATGCATTGCATAACAATTCCAACCATATGTTTGCGGGAGGTGAAGTTCCATCAAAGATTCTCGAATAAAACTCCATCTAGGTCGATCATAGGCTTTCTCAAAATCAATTTTCACCACCATGTAACCTACTTTACCTTGCTTGTATCTCATTTTATGTAACATTTCTTGCCCAATTATCACATTGTGAGTAATCTGCCTCTGAGGAACGAACGAGCATTGAGTAGGGGAAATCAAACTCGGCAAAATAGGTTTAAGACGGTTCACAATCACCTTCGTGATCAACTTATACAGAATGTTGCACAATCCAATAGGTCTAAACTGATTTGCTTTTTCCTGCACATCAACTTTAGGAATAAGCACCAAATAAGCATCATTTAGACCCTCGGGGAATTCCCTCCCTTCCAAAACCTTTGATAGAACAAAGGTTGGAAACCATCGGGTCCTGGAGCCTTAAAAGGTTTCATCGAACGAAGAGCAGCAAACACCTCACATTCACCAAAAGGACGAGAAATTTGTTCCATCTCAGCCTCACTAATGCTAGGAAAATAGTTCGACAATAATTGGACTTGGTTCAAAACACCACTCCTTTCCATTGGTTCGACAACAATATGTCGATATGGATGTCTAAAAAAAGATCTTTAAAAAATAATTTCATTGGTTTTTTTATAATAATTTTTTGATTTGTAGTTTGTAAAATATCGTCAAATGAAGTATTATTCGATTCTTATAATAAACATCTCTCTTCATTAATGACGTTGACTAGGGTGCTATTTTCTCAATAACAAAATTGTATATTTTAGTAAGAAAGATTATTTGGCGCTAATGAAATTTGTCCCGCTTTCTTATAGTAAATGACGCCAAAAACCAAAAACTTTTCCCTCTGTTTGAGTCGGGGTAGAGGCAAAACAGGGGCTTTTCCCCTATCAATTACTACACCTTTATCCTTGATAATCCATCCTACTGCCGCTCTCCACGTATTCATCCAAGGTAGCTTATTCTTCTTCCAAGGACCATCAATAATCACAGTGACATTATTCTGATTTGCCACCCTTGAGATGTCACCATCCGTACTCTGCTCCAAGCTTCCACCATCATTAGAGTCTTCATTTTTTGGCTTCGCTCTAGCTGCTAGCAGGTTACCTTTGATCCATCTGTTTTTCCAATGTTGGGAAGTGTATATTATGTTGAGAGGATGCAATATTCGTTGTTGAAGATAGCCTTATTTCTTGTGAGCCAAATGCTCCACAGAACACTGACAAAGTCCATGATACTCTCTTCTTTATTGCTGTTCAGAGCATGGATGTAGGAGATGAAGTTTTGTATCCATTCCCCTATTTTAAGCTCCTTGCTGATGTCAGAATTAATGCCTAGGTTGCTGCATTTCCATACTCTTCTAGAAATTTCGCAGTCCCTGAAAATATGCTCTTGCATTTCCTCTTTTGAAGCTTTGAATACTTGTTCTCTATTTATTTGGAACTCCTCTTTTGAAGTACCCTTTTACAAATTTCACCTATAGTTGTTTTAACCATCTTCATGATAAATTGGGTTAATCCTTCTGGTTTAATATGCACATCTTGTCATAACTTTAGTTAGTTGATAAGCACCCTTTGTTTATAAGTTTCAAACCATATTTCAACAATATACATGCCACATATCTAATCCATTTGTTTTGTTGGATGTAGGAATTTGTCGTTTGTTATTTGTCACACTCCACTTTTCTGGGATTTCGGACAAAGATACATAGGAAGTGGTTTGTGTCAAATAGAGAGCTGATATGGTGGTGGTGGTATTGGTTGTGGATCTGGTGATCCCCTAAACGATGGACAGAGGATGAGGTATATACTGGATGTTGAGAGGAAATGTAATAGCTGATTCGTTACTGCGATACTTTGTTTGTTATAAACTTACAATGTTAAGTATATTAAGTAATTTACAATTGGCATTTTGTTGATGGAACACATTAGCTAATTTTTAGAACATTACGCGGGGGTTCCCCCCTAACCTGATCCAACGCACACAAAAGAGTTTGTGGTCTTTCCTGTCATGAAATTCTATTAGTATATATTTTCCCTTCAAATAAAGGTTGGAAGCTAGAAGGTCAAGATTGCTCATGTGCTGTAGGTGGTTGCATTGGTCTATTAAAGCATACTTAAATCTAAAATGGGGTTGGAGATTGAAAATAATTATGGATGGCATGGCTTCCTTGGTTGTATATTAGCTAAGCTCACGACACTAGGCATTCTTGATGTTTAGCCAGGTTTACATTCTGTCTGCCCTGCCTTCTCTTAAAAAATTGTAACTGATACAAAGTTAACTTTTTAACTATATATATTACCTTCATTGCCCAGCAAAATCTAGGAAGATGTAAGGCCTTCGGTTTATATGCTTAACCAGTATTTGGTATTTATGGATACTCTTGTTGAATTGATTTCTTTAGGTTAACTTGTTCAACTAACCGAAGCACTGTAAGTTGGCAGCCCTTAGTGGAATTATGTTGCCTTAGGTTTTCTTTAATGCGCACTCACTTTGCTCTCTCAAATCTGGATGACTAAACTATCTTTCATATCTAATAGGTGCTGCAGGATGTACCAATTGCAGTTGATTCATCATCTCATCATATCTTTCTGTAAAGACAACCAACCTAACCAGAGACTTATTTTTTGGGCATGTAGAATGGCCTTACTAGAGCGGGACCTCGAATGCTTGAGCGTTATAGTTTTGTATGGTGTGCGTAGCATGCAAAACCATTGCAAGAGAAGTTCAACTTATGTAGCAAATAGTTATGTTTAAGCACCACAATTGTTAGGTTTGGAAAGCAAGATGCATGGAATGTTGTTAACTACTAGTACATGAGACACTGGTGGTACTTTGTCATTGTCATCTGCGAGCTTAACTGCAAAAGAAGATTAATTTTAACGTTTCTAAATCAAATTTTTTGTACAAACTAAGGTATAACCAGTATGAGAAATGCAATGGTGTAGTTACGTTTGGTGTTAGTGTATGATAGGTTGGCTCACACGTGATATTGCAAGATTGTGTCCCTGTGTTAATTTTCTTTGCTTAAATTGAAAAGCGTATATGACTATACTTATCTAATTTAATAGGTTTAAAATAACCAAATTAACCCCACAAACCTCAGAATTTAAGCCTAATTTTCATAATATCCAAAACCCACCTAGTAAATAATGTCAAAAAATGGCACCAAGACCACAAACTTTAAAAATAAACCAAGCTTATGCCCAATTATGTTAAGTCTCTAAGTGCACTCTTTTAATTTATATCTATATTTGGTGTGTGACCCAAATTAGAGCATAAATTTAAGATTACATTTGACGTGTGACCCAAACAATCGTAAAATAATTTCAATTAGTCTTGTATTACACCATAAATTCAAAAAACTTGACATGATCATAGGTATGATCAAATTCTTAATTGCGAACTCTAATAATCCACATACGTTTCTCTTTGTATTGTTGGGTACATGATCGCAACTTACAAGTTACAACACCATCCCGCCATAATCAATCTCGAAATAGAACATAAGTAAACGATATTTTTCATAGGAAAAGGGAAGTTAAGCACTTCCATATATTTAGATGACCTACGTCGAGTAGATTTCCTTAGACACATGTTCTAACATTATTACACCAACCTCCACCCTGCACAAGAAGGTAAAGTTTGAAGTAAAGCAACCATTACGACTTTACAAGAACAGCAACAACACCAACTTGAAAACTAGAGTAAGCATCAAATTCAAAAACAAATGAATCCAATTAAGGCAAGACCTACTTACAGTGCAAGATATGGAATAAACATACATTAACATACCACAATTGCAGACCAAGGGTTTCCCAATAATAATGAGAAAGAAAAATTATAGAAACACTTTCAACATTTCCCTTTAACAGCAAAATCCACTTGTTTCTGAAATATAATCTAGTGAATAATTTACTGGGAGAGCAATTTTTGACTTTTAACAAGTATATAGCCTAGAAGTATCTATAATAGTTAATCAGTCATCTTATAATCCATGTGCAGGAAAATTAACTACTTTTTCATCTTTCTCAAGATGTACACAGATAAACAAAAACTGTTAAGAGCAAATGACCATGAACATATTTTGTAGAAAAAAGGACATCACAGGTCACAACAATATTTCCTAACCATTTTAGGTAAATCTCACCAAATTATTTATTAGATAAAGAAAAAAAGTATATAGGATTTTTGGACTTCAGAAGTAGGAAAAAAATACCTGAAAAAAGGAGTCTCAATGATATTTTTAGCACAAGGAACATCATAAACAAGGTTCTTTAGCACCATGGGATCAGCACCAGCTATTCCCAGCTCCAACACAGAGCAATTCGCCTCTGCCTCGACCAACAACGGTCCTTCACCGGTATAATCAATAATCAACTTACCCTCAGGACTGATTGTTAGCCGCCCTGCAAGAGGGTAGAAATGAACAGCTGAACAAGAACCTTAGACAATAACTCTCGAACAATTTTTGCAGCATCTGCATTTCCTTTCTCTAACAGCAATGTTTTGGTCTAGTTGCAGAAGAAGTAATGCCCTTTTTCTGTTTTCTCCACTGGTGGAACTCGTGTAGGCTATTCTTGGTTTATTTCGAGCTCGAATTTCCCATCACAAGCAGCACTCCCCATTTCGAAACAACTCGAAAAACCTGTCCTGCTAGAACACACAAAGATACACTACAAATATTAGTTTGATCGCATAAACACAGTAATGTAACGTATCAAAACAACATAACAAGGCATACCAAGAAATCGTCGAACACCGCAAGAAATGCCTTCACTATTCTCACTCGCTGAATTTCTATTCCAATGTTCAAATAATCACCAAAATCCTACAAGAATCAAAATTAAGAGATGTAAAACTGAAACCCCGCAGTCATAAAATTTGAAACACCAATGAAGTTCTCTCACATTCAAGATTCTCTCACATCACATTAAAGAAAAATCCAATGAAGTTCTGGAAAAAGAAAGATGGGAAAAACTCCATCACAACTGGCTTTAACGGATGCAAGTTAACCACCACAAGCAAACCTTCACATCACCCCAAAAAAAGAGTAAAGCAGCCACGAGAACAAGAGAGAACAGCGTCCAACAATAACAGAGTAAATCCACTCAAGATGCAGTATTTAAATTCAATAAAATCAACACTGTACTCACCCTAAGATTCCCAATATGAGCTTTGCCAAGTATCCCAGTACAGTGAAATCCCAAGCAGTCTCAGCCTGAATGAACCAGAATGATGTATTAGCAAGACACATAGTAAAGAAAAAGAATGCAAATATGATCCCCAAAGGTAGACAAGCAGTACCAGCACCACCAAATATCTATTTAAGAAAACAAGGTTCAGTCAGAGACATTCTCTCAAACAAATACAACTCTGAGAATCCAATAACTAACCATACAAGCACACCATGCAGCAACTAAATAGTGTAAGGGAAATAGCAAAGGTCAGAGCAATCTTATATGTCCAAGAGATTTTCAGTCAATTCTGGAAAGTTGATGTTCCAGCAGCAGGAGGCTTGTCACCTGGAGAAGGATCCTGCAACCAGGGAAATGAGCCTCAACACCAGGGGGCAAGTCTGCATTGTCAAATTGAGCTTGCAGCTTCAAACATTCATCATCCACATCAAACAAATACTCATCATTATCATAGTAGTCCAAATATACATCGTCATCATTCACATAATCATCCCCTTCATCAATGGCATCATCTTGAAATGATAAGTCGGAACAAACAATCAACTGAAATTTACATTACCCACAGAAATTAAGTATGAAAAATTAACACAGCATAAAATTTGAGCACCCAAATAAAAATTCAGCCAAGCTGAACTAGAACAGAAAACAACACCTTAATTATCTCTGATATTATCAAGAAAGATAAACAAGAACCCAGAAATTATTCAATTAAAGCACTTGAATATTTGAGAAATTCAACAAGAAAATTGAGAAGAGAAAGAAACAATTAAATTGGGTACCTTGGAAATCATAAATAAAGTTAAAGGAAAGAAGAAATTTGATCTCTCTCCTCTTTCCATGTACTTTTTACACCCATCCCTGAACTCAGACCCATCAGGAGGCAGCTGAAGAAGGCGCAGAGGCTAAATTATGGTTGCCGACGAAGAAGACATGCTTTTGATTTGGGTATTTTGAGGGAAGAGAGATTAAGAAATCAATGACCCTTCTGGTATCTGGGCCTCTACACATCGAAATCTCACATTTTTTTATCCAAAATATATACATTTAAAAAGTTAAACTAAAATAATGAAACGAAAATCGAAAAGCATATATCATAAATGGAGATAGAATGTTACTCGGGAAACACATTTTTTATCCACATAAAGGAGCTAGATGAAGAGAGAAATGCATCTGCAACTGCTGCGAATGAAGCTATGGCTATGATAACTAAGTTGCAAGAGGAGAAAGCTGCTCTTAACATGGAGGCTCTCCAATATCTGAGGATGATGGAAGAGCAAGCAGAGTATGACGTTGATGTGCTGGAAAAAGGCTATTGAAATGATTGTTGAAAAGGAGAAAGAAATATAAGAATTGAAGGCAGAGCTTGACTATTTTAGAATAATTGAATAAAGTATCCAGAAGATTTTCCTGAAATGAATTACAAGGCTCCTACTTTGAAAGCACTCAAGTTAAGAGTTTGTAGAATTGAAGATATTATCACACTTGACATCCTTAAATGTCGTACAATATCTGGAACCTTATTCCTGGAACCTTTCAAGCTCCCTAAGTGTTCGTTCTGTGTCTCATTTTAGTTATTGCAGTATAAGTTGATTTTATAGATGTTTTTAGACTTTGTAACAACCTCATGACCTTTGACAATTTCCTACTTCGCCTAATGCATGTTACAGGAATAGGTATGAATCTCTCTTGTCTGATTTTCATTAGGATCAACCAGAACAAACTCAGTTTCCATAACTATATCAAAACCGCAAAACTCACCATCAACAATTCAAAGCCAACTAACAAAATAATTCCACAAACCAAACTAATTCAAGCAAAAACATAAAAATCACACCAGCAGAGCCATAAAAGATTAAAAACTGCAGAATCCAGTAATGTCAAGCAAAGCAGATAAAACATAGAATACATAAACACTTGCACTTTGTTTGGATAAAAGGAAATGGAAGGAAAAGAAGGGAAGAGAAAGGGAGGGGGACAAACTCTCTTGTTTAGGTAAGGGATTAAGGGAAGGGAGAGAAAGGGGAGGGAGGGATCCATTTTCCCTCTCTTTTTAATAAGCATAATCTCTCCAAAATTGGAAAGATTTGGAGGGAAAATGGAGCTCACCTCCCCCATTCCTTTCTTTTCCCTCCCCTTCCCCCTTTCCCCCTCCCCTTTCTTTCCTTCCTTATTTACTATCCAAACAAAGCGTTAGACTCGTTCAATCACTTGAATCAAAAACCATCACTCTAAAAAGGCCAATAGAATTATCAATCCTTTTCTTTCCCCTTCCCTCTCTTTCTTTCCTCTTCCCTTCCTCTTATTTCCCTCCCCTTCCTTTCCTTCCATATGTGCTATCCAAACAAAGCGTTAGTTCCAAATACAACTCTAATTGGGTAAGTTTTGTTGGCTAATTGATTTTGACTTTCCATCACTCCATCATGACACTTGGCTCCTTGTGAATCATGAAACTACAAATAATTTAATTATGATAAAAAAATAATAATAATAAAAATAAAAATAAAAATAAAGTGCAAACTAGTATGATGACATGTAAGTTCAAGCATGTCATTACACCAAGTTACAGAGAAGTTTTAAAATAGCTAACTACAGCAAAGATTGTGAGTTGTTCCACAAAATAAGATAATGTAATACAAACCACTTGCATCACATGAACAAGATTGAGTATTGAAGCTGAAATAGATATCACCACGTAAGATTGGTTAAGAATTGTACCATGGTCATTGCGGTAATATGCCATTTTTCACCAGATAGTGAGATTATTGAGAAAAGAATGGGTGAGGAAATGATATCAGTCCTTGAAATGCCATTCCCAACGACACACAGGACGATGAGCTTAAGTAGTTTGTAAATTCACCCATTTCAAGATGCAGTGTAAATGAAAAGCATGGTTGCATTGCCCCCAAACTGCAACCGTAAAATATCAGTAGTTGTAAAATTTGAAAATAAAGAACACAAAAGGATGCCACTCAAGCCAAAATCCCATACAATAAAGAAAAAAAACACGTTAGCAACAACTATCTATTCCCAATTTCCCTGTGATAGTTGAGACTTGAGGAAGTATAAACAACATAATATGTGTGAATCCATGCACACATGATATGATGTTAGGCAACAAAGACAACATGATATACCTTCAACAAGTGTACAGACATTATATATTACGGAGTAGTATATTATAAAACCATACACATGTCCAGTGAGGCATTGAATATATATATCCAGGTGCAAATTTTCATGTTTTTCTTGTCTGAGGCCACATCAACCCTCATATTAGTTATACGACATACGTTAGAATCCAAACAATCAAGCATGTAAAAAAGAACAGAACAATCGAAAATCACAAGAATGCACTACAGTAGAAGTGATAAAGACGAGAAATTGCAAGCCAAGAAAGCATTTGATCATAGGATAAAAGATGCAAAGAATATATCATCAATTAAATGGATTCTCTGTTACACTTCTGAAATCCAATCCTAAAACAAGGAAACGTGGATTTACTGATTATCCGGAGTAATGAACAGGGAAATACAAGTAAACTACTGCATCCAAACCATATTCTATGTACACCAGAACAAAACACCTATAAAGCACCATTATAAACGTCTAAGCTTGCGCAAAATCCTGTTATTACCTTAATTTTCAGGATCTAACCCATAATTGCCAATCAATAATCCAGAATATATAATTTCAATTAAAATAAGAAACAAAATCCACAGAATTTGCAACAGCAATAATCATACCTTTGAAGACCCATTTGAATTAGATGAATTGATTATCCGGAGTAATGAACAGGGAAATAGAAGTAAACTACTGCATCCAAAGATGAATTGAATGATGGGGTTGGATTCGAGAAGATCGGCAGCGCTTCAAAGGGGTGACTTGTTAGTTTGTTACTACAAAAGTGTCAAGAATGGCCCTTGCTGCAATTTGTTCTTTTAGAGAGAAGAGAGGTGGTGCCAATGCTTGATCCTGGTCCCTGAACCTAGACTTCAGAGGTTTCATTCTCTTACCACTAGACACTAGTCCGTAACAGGTGCACCAAAATTCGTGCGTGTACATGATTAATTCTCTGTTTTTATTAGATACATTTTTTTTTTTTTTTTCTTGCTTAGTTCCCGTACTATATATGGTAATTTTCTATATCTATTATTAAACGAGCCCTTTTCCTATATGTTGTTGGAAAATTATCTAATTCCCAAATTACAGTTAATCTTTTTTTAATTCTCACCGTACCGCCCACGTCAGCTAAGGAAAAACAAACCGATTTTTTTTTTTCTCGGTCCAGCAACAAACCGCTACTTTAAGTAGCGGTTTTAATTTTGTAAACCGCTACTTGAAGTGGCGGTTTTCCTCATAACACCGCTACTTCAAGTAGCGGTTTGTTCTGTAATTTTTTTTTTAAAAACAAAATATCAGTAAATCAGCCAAATAATAAACCCACTTTGATAGATCTTTGTTTCTGGTTATTTGATAAGTGAAAGTACTTGTATCCCCAAGTTGCATGAACCTTTGATAATTGGTGCAATTTGACGTGCAATTGGTGCAGCAATCGGTGTCGGCAATTGCAAATACTTTGATAAATATTGTTTCTGGTTATTTTCTCACAGCAATCGATGTCGACTAACAACCGTGAGGAAGGCGGCGACGGCGGCAAAAACGGCTTCCGGCGTGGGGATTGATGCGTTGGTAGGCTGTTTGAGGAGTGTCGAATTTTTTTGTTTTGTTTTTTGGATGATTCTGTTGAATTATTTTACAAGGGAAAGGGGGAAAGTGATTTTGTTAAAAAAAAATTAGTAAATACAAACAACTACTTTAAGTAGCGGTTTTTAGTAGCACACCGCTACTTGAAGTAGCGGTTTTCTAATAAACCCGTTTTTAAAAAAATTCCCACTGAACCGGTGATGTGGACGGTATAGTGGGAATTAAAAAAAGAGTAGCTGTAATTTGGGAATTAGATAATTTCCCAACATTATTTAGGGAAAGGGCTCTTATTAAACTATCATTATAATTAATTTTTTATTAACAAAAAAAATCTAAAAACATTATTGACAAATTGTGATCAAAATAAAGGATTACGAAAGATATGCTAGATATAAAATGATGTAAAATATTTTTAAAATTATGTTAAGACTTTTTATTTATAGCTATATAAATATTTGTGTCAAAGATATGTTAAATCTTTTTTATTTTAAGTAATTATATGTCAAATCTTTTTTATTTAAAGTAATTACATTTTATAAAATTAGGGAATTATTTTGTATAAGATTTGTTTGTTTTTGTATTTTTAATACTTTGTAAAACTTTATTTTTTTAAAAAGAAAAAAAAAATCAAGGACACACCAGGAGATGACACGTGTCACTGCTAGTGTGTCTTATAGTATATAGTATTAAATAATTGATTGATGATTGATTTATTTTTTAAGATGGTAGTTTTATTACTTTTTATTGAGACAAAAATGAGAAGAAAGTTATGAATTATAATAGGATAGTTTTTTTTTTTTTTTTTTTTTTTTTTTTAATTGCACTTATTTTTGGTAAAAAATAATTTTTATAATGTTAAAGGTATTTTAGGAAAATAAAATTTATCAACCAAGCAAAAGATCCTTTCTCTTTATATAGTACTATAGATAAATTGTAGTTAAAATTATATTGTACTATCTGTTTAGTTCCATCTAGAGTTCTAGACTCAATCTATTTTATTTTTAGGAAATTTTGTGAAAAACTACCTATTATAGTCCAGAATTTGTGAGAAACTACCTATTAAAAAAAATGTTGTAATTAACTACCTAATTTTCAAAAATTGTTGTAATTTACTACCTTACGCCGAATTATGAAGGAGTTTGACCAAAGTTTTCCGGCGTTGACTTGGTCACATGACCATCACGTGACACTTAATGACCCTTTTCTTTCACCAAGTGTCACTTGACCAAGTCAACGTCGGAGAATTTTGGTCAAACTCCTTCATAATCCGGCGTAAAGGTAGTAAATTACAACATTTTAAAAAACACTACTCAATAGTGGAATATTAAAAGCACAGAAAAAGTATTTCAAATATTGAGAATTTTTTACTCCTTAAAAAAAAACCAATGAATTGATGTAAGATTCTAGAAATGAAAAAAGAAACACGAGTATTAGGCATGATGGATATTATAAAATGATCAATATGTCAATCATTATTGCTTATTAATAATTGCACATTCACGCTATGGCATCAGCAATCTGTAATTCATAGTTCAAAGTTAATAAGTTCAACCACTCCAAAGTTTACAACTCAGTAGTAGCACATCAGGAACCAACCTAGCTCCCTAGAGAAAAGAACCGGAGATGCAGTCTAATGAGAGATGCCAACTGATCCGCCAAAGTTTTGTCAACAATTGTAATTTTTAGCAAGTCAGCAACCACACAGGTGGAAAGCATTCCTTCAAGCAGGTCTACTCATAGCTACCTTCCTACCTTCCTTGCTCCTAGCTTCATATTTACCTGGATAGAACTAAAATGTGAGAGCGAGCAAGAAAGATATACGCGCTAATCCAAACTTTACATGACATGTTAAAGAATCAAGTAGAGTCCATCAAGTAGAATCCAAACTATGTATCGCTTTTCTTACCTTGGTATGATCCTTGTTATGTATTGAATTCAGCTAATGTAATTAACGCAATTAATAATTCAATTCTTCAATCAATCAAATACTCAAGCTTTCAATCTTATATAATTATTAATTTGCGTTAATTACATTAGCTGAATTCAATACATAACAAGGATCATACCATCTACTGAACTATATTGTCATGAGTGCACTCATAGCAGATAATACTTCAGTAGATGCCACGAGAAGTGCACTCATAACAGATCATTACTGTTAGGAAACTTAGGATGCATAAATAGGAAATATAACAAAATGATAAGGCGTCAAAAAATACATTCAACAACAAACAATTAATAACTACAACCAACCTTTTCTACTAGTCCAATTATGACTTGTCCTGCTCCTGAAAAAACAAGTGAAAGTGTGTGAGACGAAAGAGGGAAGTGGGACTATACAATGGGAGAGAAACACTCTTATTCGATTAGAGAGTATTAATACTTTCAAATATCACTCAACTCACCATATTATTATTAAGGAAAGGAACTTTGATTGTTTTAGTTGAAGGACTTTCCTCAAAGCCTCAGCCCTCAACAAAACAACAAATATATATATATATATATAGAAATAAATAAATAAAAAAAGGTTAAAAAAAAAAAAAGGGTAATCATTTGAGTAATCTCATCTCAGTACTATACACAAACCATTTCTTTTGCAATCTGATTTCAACTAATCCTCTTCCCTAGCTTAACAACACAGGGGTTAGCCCCTTCCCCCAATTGTAGTCCCCTTACTTTTTCTAAGGCTGTAAAAACCATTTCAAATAGTTATTCTGCGGATCAACAACAAATTTTAAGTTATAGTAACCAAGCCACAAAGCAAGAACAAGGAATCTATTTTGTTTAAGGCTTCAAGAAGCATTTATAAAAATTCATAAGATGAAAGTTCATAAACAATAATTTCACGTGGCGACATCCATAATACAATTATGTGAAAATGTGCACAAAAGATGATATAAACAAAACAGTATATTGTATTATAACTCGCTGGGTTTTTTAACCTAAGTTGTATTACCGGTATTATTAGTGGGTGTTTGGTTCAAAAGACTAGAATGGAATGGTATGAGAGAGGGAATCCCTTAAGAATAGTTCCACACCCATAATAACTCAATCAAACAACCAATATCAGATTTCTTGGTATCGCATACATTACAATCTATTCCAACAAGTTTCACCAAACACCTCCTTAGTTGTAAACTACCTTCTCATATGACCACATCAATGTGTAAATCATTTGGTACTTGTGAATACTTGCCTATCAATCAGGACCATCACATAACTTCATTACCTTTCACACTCACTCTGTTACAGTATTCAAACCGATTTTCAAAGATGCTAACAATATATATTAGGAAGATTGGAATAGCCCAATTTGAACTTTTAAGGACACAACATAAGTTTGGATAATGTTAGGGTTGGTGAGTGCACAGCGGAAGCGAAGATGTGTTTGATTGAGAAATATAATCTAAATTGATAATTGGCAAGATAATTAATATAAATAAACACACGATTTTATACAACAACGAGCACTTTTATTCCACTATTTGAAAGTATGAGAGTACAAGAACCCTTGAGAGGGTGATTATTACAAGAGAACTCTCACTGTAAGAAACTCACAAAGGAGTATTATGATAGTAGTGGAATATTACAAGGAGGGAGAATATTTTATAGAAAGGCTTGTATTTGGTATGGTTTCTTGTGTTTTTGTGTTGTGTTGTTGTTGTTATGCCCTTGACCCATATTTATAGGTGAGGATGGAGGCTTCTAGATTTTTATGGGAATTTCTCCATAATTATGGCTCTTAATCTAGAGGCTTCTACTTTTAATATTCTCTAGAATATTCTAGGAGATATTAAAGTTGTAGATAACTCTAAAAAAATCAAGTGTAATCTTCTCTTGATTTTTCAGGAAGCTTCTAGATTATACTCCATCAATATAATGGGCTTATAAAATTTGGGCCATACCCAACAATCTGCACCTTGGACCAAATTTTATCTGTGCGCTCGTCGTATGTTACTTGGACCCGTATTATGTGAGCGTTGTTGCCGAGTCCGGATTGAGTATGACGAAGCCATAATAGAAGATCCTTGTAATACATAGATATTTCTATGTCTGATGGCCTTCAATATTTCTTGAGCGCCTTTGGAGACTTTGAGTGCTCCACCTTGAGCCGAAATCTTATATCCTTTTGAGTCCAGAATGCCAACAGAAATGATATTCTTTTTCAGATCAGGAACATGATGAACATTAGACAAAGTCCTGATCACACCGTCTTGCGTCTTGATCCGTACGGAGCCAACACCACGAACTTTGCAATGATAACCGTTACCCATTGTAACAGTTTTATTCTTTACCGGCTGATAGTCGGTAAAGTGAGACTTTTGAGAACAAATATGGTTGGCAGAACCCGAATCAAGTACCCAATCAGAATTTTTATTTCTTCTTGGTGAAGTAGCTAAGAGAACTTCATCATCGGACTTTATTTCTCCAAAACCGGCTTCTGCCGTCTCTTTCGGCTTTTCCTCTTGCTCTTTCTTTTCGAGCTTTTTATTTGCAAACCAGCATTCTTCAACTGTGTGCCCAAGTTTCTTGCAAAACTTGCAAGATTTTCCGGATTTGTGTCCATTAAATTTGGACTTCTTATTGGTACTTTTACTACCGTGTGATCTCCCTTGTATACTTAAACCTCCGGCATTTTCATTAGAATGAACTTCAAGGTCAAACTTTTCTTTTGAGAGTAAGTGAGATTTAACATCCTCAAAAGAAAGAGTATCACTATTGCTATAAAGCATAATTTCCTTGAAGTGTTTATACGAAGGTGGTAGGGAGACAATTAATAACACGGCCTTATCCTCATCTTCGATTTTAACATCTAAATTTTCTAGATCAATTATAATTGAATTAAATTCATCGAGATGAGTTTGAATAGAAGTACCTTCGGCCATTCGAATTGTATAAAGCCTTTCTTTAAGTCGAAGCTTGTTAGCGAGGCTTTTAGTCATATATAGTGACTCTAACTTCAGCCATAGGTCATCTGATGTGTCTTCATGGACAACCTCGCGCAGTACCTCCTTGGTTAAACATAGTTGGATTGTCGAGAGGGATTTTTCGTCCAACTCTTGCCATTGCTCGTCTGTCATTGACTCTGGTTTTTTAGCTTTTCCATCCAAAGCCTTCTTTAATCCGCTCTATACTAGAACGGCTTTCATCTGGACTTTCCAGATGCTGAAATTAATCTTGCCGTCAAATTTCTCAATCTCGAACTTCGTGATCGAAGACATGTTTAATGTGTAAACACTCTAATCAACCTTTGGCTCGGATACCACTTGTTAGGGTTGGTGAGTGCACAGCGGAAGCGAAGATGTGTTTGATTGAGAAATATAATCTAAATTGATAATTGGCAAGATAATTAATATAAATAAACACACGATTTTATACAACAACGAGCACTTTTATTCCACTATTTGAAAGTATGAGAGTACAAGAACCCTTGAGAGGGTGATTATTACAAGAGAACTCTCACTGTAAGAAACTCACAAAGGAGTATTATGATAGTAGTGGAATATTACAAGGAGGGAGAATATTTTGTAGAAAGGCTTGTATTTGGTATGGCTTCTTGTGTTTTTGTGTTGTGTTGTTGTTGTTATGCCCTTGACCCATATTTATAGGTGAGGATGGAGGCTTCTAGATTTTTATGGGAATTTCTCCATAATTATGGCTCTTAATCTAGAGGCTTCTACTTTTAATATTCTCTAGAATATTCTAGGAGATATTAAAGTTGTAGATAACTCTAAAAAAATCAAGTGTAATCTTCTCTTGATTTTTCAGGAAGCTTTTAGATTATACTCCATCAATATAATGGGCTTATAAAATTTGGGCCATACCCAACAGATAAATAGCCGTCTCGTTTGTATGGAAAGCTGTAAAAATCTTAGCTTGATTAAAAAACACAAAACTATACAAGTATTTCAAAAAAGTAACAAGGCATTGTGATTAAGATAATTGGTTGATGATTATATCAAAATTCATACACGCTAGTATGCTATTAGAAAAGGCATAAATACTTTAAAAACAAATAATTTTATTTGCTTACTTCAAAAAGTCAGTTAAAGCTTATAAAAGCATTTATAAAAGATAGCTATAAGAATGTTGATCAAAGTTGTATAAAACAAATGCTTGTATACACTCTAAGTGTAAAACACTTTAAGAATGATGTCCAACTCTTGATAATAAATTTTAAGTTGAATGGGCCTCACTGGCCCCCAAATAGTCCTGAGTTAAAAATAAAAACTGAGCACCAAAGAACATTGATCTAGCCATAACAAGGATCACAATCTTGCTTGCACAGCCAACAATTAAAACATGGTATTCAACCGGAATCAAATAAATCACCTAACTGTAAAAATAGACAGGCATTAAGCTCTCTAATTCCACTTCACTTGACTACAAACCTTGTGTTGGCAAAGGACCATAAACTTGCATATACAACATAATGGAGTTAATATATGAATGTCCAACAACCAGAACAGTAAATCCTGAGACTCAGTTAAACCATAAGTGTTACTCAGATTTGATATCATATTAGAAAGACACATAAGCATTTATCATAGTTATTCTACAACTTCAAATTGATAACAATGATTGTAACGAAAAAGCCAGTAACACTATACCCAATAAGATGCAGCAAAGTTTAGTAGACTAGTAGTAGTAAAACTTACAAGAGGTACGCATCTACTAGTTCAATAAATTGAGGAGTAGTAGCGCAAAAACAGCCCACCACAGACATACAAATGCCACTGGAAGCGTATCTGATAACCCGCGTGATCAAACAATGAAGATTGGAGCTAAAATCACTTCTACCGAATTGGTACCACAACAGGCAAAATAAACCATCTTTCAAATGAGTTAAGGGAAGTTTAGAGTAATTCTTGTGGATAGCAGTAGTGAAGGATTCGTGCTCGAGACCTATAATGGGACCAGAGACCAAGTCCATAGTTCTCCAGTTTAATGCATAAAGCAATCCACTATGTTCATCAATCCAATAGACGGTAGAATCTTGTTCAACAACGGCGGGATTCATGGGAAGATTATTCAAACACAGAGAGAGTTCAGAGTGAGTGAAGGGATTGAGCTCTCCCGTGGCCACATCATACACAAAGCAGTGTACAGCTTTACTCTTACCCTTGTCCGATGATTCCGCCTCCGCGACATAAGGAGCAGCAACAATGATCTTCCCCACAGATTCACCCAAGGAAGAAACAAATGTCCAATTACAATTGGGTATGATTGTATTCTCATTCTGATATAAAATGCTGGACCAGGAGTCCTTGACAGGGTCATATATGACTCCCAATTCTTGATCATCCTGCGAAAGCATAGCCCCGAAAATGTAAATTCGTCCACCCAAACTCATAGGGCTAGGGGTGTTCCTGCATATCCAATTTTCATTAGAATTTACTGTAGGAAAATTAAGATTGAGGATAAAATAAATAAAAATACCTGATAAATAGATTAGGGGGGCAAGATGGAACGGGTTTCCACTGTAGTTTATTTTGGTCAAAATCCGAAAGAATTGAACGCATAAATATGCCATCGACTGAGAAAGTATAGATGGTATTTTTTATCACAGCGCAACGACGGTGAGGTTTGTCTGCAGTGGATTTAGACAACCGCCGAATGGAGTGATTGGAGAAGAACCTTGACGGGTCACCATAGTTGTGGTCATGGGGGATGTATCGTCCGTCGTATTCATGGTATGCATTCACCTTCGATGAGGGTATCCGAACTTTATACCATGCTGTTTCTGAACCATCTTCCCGGACTCTCACCGCTATTTCAAATTCATCCCTTAGATTCATATTCTACACCAGGAGTGAGCTTTCATATTTAAACGCTAATTTAGTTGTAATTAGGAATGTAATCCCTTCATCAGCCACTAATATGATTGTTACAAACTTACTCCAAAATATATGAACCCGAACCCAGTGGCGTATCCCAGAATACCACTAAACTTCCCGATACGTTTCCAAAAAGACTTTAAACTCACAGTGGAACCTAAAAACTCCACAATTTTACATTAACATCAAACAAAATTATGAATATTAATTTATTATTATTGTAATACTATAGTAAACAAAACCAATAGACATCGAGTATCTAACTATATTCTCCAAATAATCCAACATTCTGAGTTCTAATTCCAAAAAACTATTAATACACACATAACAAAAATTCCAATGTACATATATGAATTAAAAACCATCAATTATTATCAATTCCTAAAATAATCAGAAACCCTAACTCCCTAATTCGATAAATTATATAACAAATCATCAATATCAAGCAACAAATCAACCCAAAAAATTAGAAACTTGAAAATCCATAATTATGTATGAAATTGAGTTACCTGAAATTGATGGAGAGAAGCTGCCGGCTGGAGATGTGGAGTGCGGTGGCTGGAAGGTCTGGCAACAGCTGGTAATTAATTCAAGAGAGTAATTTCTTTACTTAGAGTTATGTAATTAATTCACAATCAATTAATCTAATCAGTCATAATTTAATATGTATAAAATTGGAAATAAAAGTTAAGTTATAGGTGGAATACATTTAATATGGGTAGATCTCTTTGAAAAGCCCAAAATAGCATATGAGACTAACAAATCGAAACGGAGGGAGTACTAAAATAGCAACCGTTGATGTCATCTTTTTTCAAAGTTGTCCACGTGGCGCTATTTTATGAAAAGATTTCCTGCTCAAATGCTAATTTTTTTTTTTGAAACAAAATGCTAATTAATTTTAAATAGATAGTAGCTATTATATAGGTAATTAATTTAAAATAAGTACCTATTAATTTGGTGGTTTATGTTGATATTAGGTTGTTGGAGTATTTATAGGAGTTGTTAGCATAGTTGAGGTCAATTAAACTCTACTTATGAACATTTTAAACTCAAATTTTTTTTTTTTACAAAAATCCAAAAAAAATTACTGGTAAACCCGTGCATCATGCACGAGTGCTAACCTAGTTATCAACAAAACTAATACGGAGACATGGAGTAATAAAATTTAAGAATTTGAGGGGATTCATGGTACAAAAATATGTAATGGGGTTTCGAGGGTGTCACATCTCTTCTTTGCCAATGATATTATTTTATTTGCAAGAGTAACTCTGCAGGAATGTTCGGTGATTGCTGATATCATCAGTAAATATGAGCGAGTACCAGGTTAAAAAGTCAAAAAAAAAATTGACGGGAAGGTTAAAAAGTCAATCCTAACAAAATAGAAGTCACTTTCAGACGTTTCAGTAAATGTGTCTCAATTGGTAGAAGAAATGATATTATTGATACTCTTGGAGTAAGGAGGTAGAAAAACATGAAAAATATTTGGGGCACCCGACGATAATTGACAGATAAAAAAAATCAAAATTTTCTTGTTTGAAGGAAAGGATTTGGAAAATCTGAGCAGGTGGAAGAAGATTTCATTAAGGCGGTGGCGCAGGCTATCCCTACATATATGATGAGCATCTTTAAAATTTCGGAGGGACTAATTGATGAAATTCATACTCTTTTGAACCGATTTTGGTAAACTTCATTGGCAAAGGTGGGAAAATTTGTGCTTGCCGAAGTCAAAAGGAGGTCTCGGGTTTAGGGACCTCAAATGCTTCAACCAAGCTTTTTTGGCTAAAGCAAATTTGGCGGCTAGCTGTATAATGATGATGGCTCTCTTATTAATAAAATTCTCAAAGTTTGACTTTAAACACTCTAATGTGATTGAGGCTCTTCATGGATATGATCCAAGTTACTCTTGGAGAAGCATGTGGGAGGCAAAATCGCTTTTAATTAAAGGGGTGGCTTGGAGAATTGGGGATTAGACTGACATAAATGTATGGAATGAGAAATGGCCGGTGAAGGAGGGGAAAACTATTAGTCCTTTGCCTGGACTAGATAGCTAGCAATTTTGAGTTGCGTGTGTGTGACTTGCTCAAGCCTGAGTGCAAAGTATGGGATGAAGAAATGGTGTGAGATACTTTCAGTGAGGAGGGTTGCTCTTTAATCCTTGCTATCCCACTCTCAAATCAGTGGGAGAAAGACAGAATGTACTGGAGAATGGCAAAATATGGCGTCTATAGAGTGAGATCAGGGTACTGGTTTGCAAATCAGAATGCCGTGGAGGGTGATACAAGTGCAAATGTTGATGAAGATGAGTTGTGGAAGGGAATTTGTGTTGGGCTTAGTGAGTCCGACCCACCGCGGAAAGAAACACAACCCAAAACCAAACTCACAATAATTATAACCATAAAGCATAATTAACATAAACACAAGACTAAGTAAGAGACTAATACCTTTGTAGCGTGTTTCGCTCACTTAATTGAGTTCTTACTTCGAAAGCTCTTAGCCCCCCTCACACGAGGACCTCCAATAAAGTCCACCCGCAACGCGAGCACCAAAATTGGTCTATTGCCTTGGAGTTAGCAAGGCCCGACCTAAACCCGAGTAATTAATTGTGTTCAAAGGTTTTCACACTGTGATGCCTTTTTCAACACTTACTCAAATACTTTTCCTAATACCCAAAGTTGGGTATTTATAGGGAAATGCAAGAGTGAGAAATGCTCACCCATCAATGTGGGAGATTTGATTTTTCCATTTTATTTTAAATCTGAAATAAAATTAATAATCAAGCTACTAATAAATCAACTAGTGTCAAGCTCACATGAGAGGTTAGGTGAGGACCATTTGGAGAAGGGGGGACCAAACTTGCTCCCCACTCCCTCTCCCAAAACCGGTCAACACACACCCAACCCCATTTAGCTTGCGCCACGTGGCAGCCCCACTTGGGCACCAAGGCACCCCAAGTGGGCTGCCATGGCTGCTGCCACCCTCGGCCAGCAAGCCCAGCACTTGCGTGCGGGCTGCTGCTAGCAAGTCGCGCATCAAGTGCGGGCTGCTAGTCGCAGCTTTTTAGCAAGCCCCGCACTTGGTGCGGGCTGCTAGCTCGGCCATGCCCCTAGCACTTGGCTTTTGGATGCTAAGAGTATTTTGGTCATTATGTTGATTTATTAGTTATTTTCCCGTCTCGTCTTTTTATCATTTTTTACTCGACTTCCGACGCTCGGTTTCGACGCTCCAAGCTCGAATTTTCGACTTCTAAATATTAATTACTCGGGCGACTCATTAATTTCTTCCGAATTAATTAATTCGTCGCTTTGGTTCGTTAGTTGCTTGGGTGTGACCCGAAGGGTTCAGTCAAGATTGAGCTGTAATATTAATTATACATTAATATTACTGATCGGAAGCGACCTCCACCCAGGCATTCCGATCACCTGACCTCATTGAATAATTAGCTTTCTAATAATTTTGAACCCTCTATCGGAATAATACACTTGTTTGAAGGACACCATTCCTTTAAATTTGGAGTTTGAAGGGACCGCCAAAGCTAAGTCATTTTCTATGGAGTGCTTGTAAAGGACACCTTGCTGTTAAAGATAGACTCTTCTTCCGTCATATAACACAAGATAAGGTGTGCCCAATTAACGTTGAAAATGAGACGATTATTCACGCTTTGTTCGAATGTGAGGTTGTTGTAGCAATTGGGCGGGTGGTTGTCTTGGCAGACTGGTTAATTGATGTTCCATCTTCCTCCTTTGTCCATCGTTGGCTATGGCTACGAAGCAAGGTGAGTGCGGAAGAACTTCTGGTGCTAGCAGGTTTGATGTGGGCAGCGTGGGCATGTCGAAATAAATTATTTTTTGATAATGTAAGGCCTGATTTCGTGGCTATAGCAAGTGGTTTTGTGAAGCTCATTACAGACTACAAAAGCTACTCATCAAAGGTCTTTGTGAGGGGTGCTAATGGTCAGGCAGTGGCGTCTCTTGCATCTTGGGTTTGCCCACCTGATGGCTGCGTCAGGTTCAGGGGCAGCGGAAGGGCGGAGCATGTTAAGCGACCGCGCAAGGCCCCCTAAATATTAGGGCCCCAAAATCAGATAAATAGCTTTTATGAGTGTAATTAAATAGAAATCTCCTTAGCTTGCTACTTAGGAGCAATCAGTTTTAAAATAGAAGTCAGAGGTTCGACTCTCCCTTACACCAAACTTTTTAAATAAATATCCTTTGCCACCATCTGTGTTATATTTTTGATTTATTTATTTTTTGTGTAGAAAACTAACACCTTAGGCTTGTTTGACATCATTTTTTGTTTTCAGTTTTTTATTTATTTTAAAACAAAAAACCAAAAACAGGAAACAAGAAAAAGATGTTTTTACTTTAATTTTCTGTTGTCAGTTTTCAAAATCATCACAATTTTAACAAGTTTGACTAATTTTTTATTTATTATATAACATATATCATATAATTATGAAAAACAAAAAACATAAAACCACAGTAATGCAACTTTTTTTTTAAAATTTTTTTTTTTTAGATACAACTTGCTTTAAATTTTTTATGATATAATGTTTTTTGCAATATACTTGAATTATTGAGACAATTGGTCTTGAAGTCACTCGTGAAAATGTTATGGTTTTTTTTTTTTTTTTGTAATTTTACATTTATCGTCATAATTAAATTTAATATTTACAAAATATTATTTAATTAAAACCTTCTTTTAAATTATGAAAAAGGGGGGCTCAAGTTAAAAAATCGCACAGGCCCCGAAATTCTTTGCCCCGCCCCTGGTCTTGTTAATACGGATGCACATGTTATTGATGGAGTACTGGTTGGTCTGGGGGTGGTAATTCGGGATAGTGAAGGACGTCTTCTGGTGTGTGCAACTAGAAGGTGTCCAATTACTACTCCAGAGGTTGCAGAAGCTATGGCTGTGCGTTATGGCCGCTTCAAGTGGCAAGGAGAATTGGGTACTCCAAGGTAGTAGTGGAATGTGACGCCATCAACGTTGTGCAATATGTAAAAAGAAGGATTAGTGGCTTTTCACCTTTATTTCTGGTTTATGATATTTATTTGAATAGTTTATCTTTTGATCAGTTTAGTTTTTCCATATTAAGAGGGCATGTAATACCGTTGCACATATGGTTGCAAGGTGGGATACGGGTAGCAATTTCGAATTTGTTTATATTGGTTCGTTTCCCCAAAATATTACGACTTTGGCGAAATTTGATTTAATTTAATAAATGGTTGCGCTGCCTTTTCTTCAAGAAAAAAAAAATTAAGAATTTGAGGGATAGAACCTATGATCTCAATCAAACCAATAGTTAAGATGTGCTAACAATTACCACTGATGTTCATGTTAACCTGATTTTTTCTTAAAAAAAATATGTGATGTATCTGCCACTGCCCGCAGTAATCAGTATAAACCTTATCCCAAACCATACAAATTTTTAAATGAACCTGGTTCACACTAATTTATTGTGAACCACTAATATTAGAGAAACTATGGTTGTTTAATTAATAAAAAAAAATGGGTCACTATAATAAAAATAAGGTCATTATGTTGAAATAAAAGTCATTTTGGTAATATATAGGCTATAAGAGGTTAAATTTTTTAATGAAATATTTTATATAATGGTCAATATGAAAAATAAAGATC